TTTTATCGCTAATCCCACTGTTGATTACATGCATTCGAGTCGGAAGATTTTTCGTCACGCACTGCAAGGCTCACTTCGGAATTTTATACCATGGACGTAGACAAAGGAAACCTCGATTCGGATAAGGACACGTCATCTTCTCTAAATACCCTTGATGACAGATCGCAGTATTCTTTGTACGCGGAATCGGTGAGAGATCAACGCAATAACTCTTCTATATCTACATTTTCATATTCGAATGGGACCTCTGATCTCTCGCCGGGGCGAGGGAAAAGTCTAGTAATGCATTGACCGAAACACATAGAAGACACATGCAAAATAGATACGGACCTTCGTCCAAAGGTCCTTTCGAAATATCAATATATATATCCAAAGTTGTAGACAACCGCATCGATAAAAACATTATCATGAGTGAAATAAAAATTGGCAAAATAATGACTAGACTTTTTCCGACATTGTAGAGATCCGCGATCAATCTGAAATCTGTCGGAACATATAAATTCTCAGTCTCCTTCCCAGACGGAGTAGCGGCCAATAAAATGGTGGAAAACGTCTCCGTCATGGGGGAGAAGGTAATTAGGGATACCATTTGGATAGCTTACGTACCGGATTATCGTATCACTTCCAGGGTTGTTACCAGAGATATTGATTATTCTGAAACAACGGAGGAAATCCAACAATTTTTACAAGCACCTCCTCATTATATAACCCAGCTACCGGAAATACTAGAAGTCAAGCATATTCAAAGAAGGATAGTGGATCCTGCTGATAAATCTAAGTTCGTGTATATTCCATCCAATAATATGATAATGATGAACGTTTGCAGGTCTATCCGCTCCCAAAGCAGCTATCTATTTAGGGAAAAAGATCAGATTTGCACCATATACAGGGTGCACGATTTATCTGAAGACATTGAAATATCTCGAGAACTATGCATTGGATAAAAAAAAGTGGTTAACGAAAGTTGTTAGTCTCGAAGGGGGACATCCAATGATACCAAACTCGACCTCCCACCCCACCCCCTGGGGGTGGGGGTTGGGGGCAACTTTGAAATCTTAAATGGAAACCCCCATTTTTATTGCAGATACGGATTCTACGCCACAAAATATGTAAATTTTGTCCGAAACTTTTTTTTTGATTCGTGATATATGGCGCTGTAATCGCAAAAAATTATATTTTCCGCAATTCTCCAGAATTGATCATTGGATTGAGAAATAAAAAATACCTGTTCAATATTTTTAAAGAACATAATAAAAGTTATTCCCCCCCCATCCTGTCGGGGTAGGGTAGGTGATAACGTTCAAATCTCAAATGGGGACCCACATTTTTCATTGCAGAATTAGATTGTACGTGAAATTTTTATTGAAACAATTTTTTTCATTCGTGATAGATAGCGTTGAATTTTTCCGAGAAACTACTTTTAGCGTTACACAGGAACAACGACGAGGACGTAGTAGTTTTATGTTCCCTTCGGGTGCTTTTTTAATGTGAGTCCCCTTGCCTCTCACAGATCGGGGTGCTTTTTTAATGTGAGTCCTCTTGCCTCTCACTGTTCAATTAATTAGAGTAAGTGTTCGAAATTTTTACCTTCAACTTCAATACACTTATTGATCCTTTTTTCAAATGACTGTACACAGGATAGAAGCATATCTGCGGGAGTTTCAGCGCAAACGTTTCTTATACGTTCTAACATGTTTTCACGAGTTGTTGGTACTTGTTGATTTAAAAATATTGAACAGGTATTTTTTATTTCTCAATCCAATGATCATTTCTGGAGAATTGCCGAAAATATAATTTTTTGCGATTATAGCGCCATCTATCACGAATAAAAAATAAAAGTTTCGAACAAAATTTACGTATTTTGTGGCGTAGAATCCGTATCTGTAATAAAAAATGGGGGTTTCTATTTAAGATTTCAAAGTTGCCCCCAACCCCCACCCCCAGGGGGTGGGGTGGGAGGTGGCGAGTTTGGTATCATTGGATGTCCCCCTTCGAGACTAACAACTTTCATTAACCACTTTTTTTATCCAATGCATAGTTCTCGAGATATTTCAATGTCTTCAGATAAATCGTGCACCCTGTATACAGAAAGTAAAGAGATGCAACAATTGCCAACGTTTCGGTCATATTGAGGCTCAATGCAGAGGTGGCTCGAAAGCCATGGTATGTGCAACCTGTGCGAGCAAGGGACATCATTCGAAGAGTTGCTCATCATCTAATCTGGCTTGTATTAACTGCCTGCGGAGGAAACTTCCTTTCCCTAATCATAAGGCCAGTTCGGGCATATGCCCGACTTTTATTGAAAACCGAAGAGCGAAGATTGTCATGGCGAAGTTGGGTCTGAATCCAGCGGATGCCATGGCGTTCTATAAATCCACCGGGCATCGTCTACCAGATAAATGGTTCGAGATTAACAGTGCTGAAGAATCTGCTACGTTTGCGGACTTTATCCCCTGGTTTAAGCAGAGCGACTTCTTTTCGGACTTGGACCCCGGACTGCCGACTAGCGGAGAGAACAACCTGAAAAACCATCCGGAAGACAAATTATCTAAGAACAAGATAAGTCCATATAAGTCTAATATATCTCGCAGAACCTCACTACCACGCAAGAGAAAAAGATCAATAAGCTTCAACCTTCCTTCGGAGCAGATGACACCTTCCCTATCTGAGGATATTCCCGTAATTGATAATCCAATCCCTCCGGATCTGGGAGCCCCTCTTACAACTTTACCCCTGGCCGGGCGGGGGGATTGTAAAACTCTTTTCCTTACAACAAGTTTACCTTGCCTTCCCTCACCTCAGGGTGGATTGGGAGGGGTGGTGGAGGTGGAGGGAGATTATCCCTCCTCCTCGCCAAATATGGAGGTGGTTCCTTCTGTTATTCAAGATCCTAATACAGAACAGATTTTGCTGACGGAATTTAACAACTTCATCACAGATTATGGTGAAAAAATAGACCCTACCTCTGAAGATACGGCGCCGCAATTAATTATTTCTGGTCCCCATAACGTGATATCGGGTTTATGCTCTTTATTGTCGTCTTTAATAGTCAAACATCAGGAAGAATATCTCAGAACAAATCAAGAAGCGAATTAATCTGTATTCCAAAAACAACTCCAAAAGCAAATAATAAAAAAACAAATATTATCATAACACGGTCTACTTTTGTTGGAATAGTTATGAAAAGGGAAGATGGCTCAGAATAATCAGGACAGTTTTCTTTCCATAGTGCAATGGAATTGTAGATCTTTGAAAGCTAGATTCAACGACCTTATTGCTCTTCTTGATAAATACCCAGGGTTACCAGCTTTTATTTGTCTTTCGGAGACCTGGCTGAAAGACACTGATAGGATGAATCTTAACAATTACATTCTTATTACCAGCAACAGAGAACGTCCGGGAGGGGGTGCAGCCATAGCAGTTAGATCGGACATCAATTTTGTGGTCACACACGCTGCGCTTGGTGAGGAGCTTCTTTCCAGTTACAACGTAAATTTCTGCTGCGTTGAATTTAATATTAACCAAATTCCGCACCAGTTGATCTCTGTATACAATCCACCTAACAATATATTAGTTGATAACGTTCCGACCTGGGATAACTTTTTTGCTAAGTTTAAGAGTACTTATAACTTGATCATTACCGGAGATTTTAACTATAGACACCCTCTCTGGTGTGATAACGTTTTTAATCCGGCTAATGCCAGCAAAAAATTTGCTGATGCTATCTCCAATTCTAATTTAGTAATTTTAAATAATGGTAACCCTACATGGTCTTCCAAAGATTTACTCCATTACAGTGCCATTGATATCACGATTACCTCAAATTCCATATCAACCTGTGCAAAATGGCAAACGCTCCCTTATCTTTACGGAAGCGATCATTACCCAATTATCATTGAGTTTCTTGACCTCACTTCTGACAAATTTGGTTGCAGACCCCACTATAATGTTTCCAAAATTGATTGGGATCATTTTTCCAATAGTTTTGGGTCACAACTGTCACTTCTTTATGACAAAAAGGATAGTGCATCTAAACTTTCGGCAGACCCTGTTTTTACTTACAACAACATTTTAGATAAGATACACTCCTCGCTGATTAATGCAGGAGCTTCCATCATGAGGGACAGACTATCTTTGTGTACCTTTGTAGACCTTCTCCTTAGTGGGATGAAGAATGTAGGAGCATCCTAAAAGCTAAAAAAAAGGCTTTTCTTTTATTCAAAGATATTTCTACTTTGGAGAACTTGGAGCATTATAACAAGGCCTGTAAGGAGTCCAATAAGAAACTCAAGAACATTAAAAAGTTTAAATATAGATCATTTTGCGAATCACTGAATAGAAACTCGGATATTAGTGACACTTGGAGAACTTTGGCCGCCTTTAAAAATAAAAAAAATCTTAATAGCATTATTAATGAATTTTCACAAGGCAGGCTTGAAGATGCTAAAGAATCCTTTCGTGACGCAGTTAAGCAACCTTATAATGAAAACCTTCGGATTGCCTCCTCTTCTGTAGTGAATAAAAGTGAAGTTCCACCTTCAAACATGACTAAGGCATACATTTCCGCTCGCAACTCTCCCCTTGAGGAGGAGTTCACGGTAGAGGAGTTTGATCTTGCGGTTGATAGAGCAAAGAAAAAGAAAACTGCGCCGGGCCCTGATTTGATTACTCGGAATATCCTCATTCATCTTCCAGATAAGTTTTTTCAGAGCCTTAGAGCTTTATTTAATCAATTCATCGAACAAAGTACGTTTCCTAACTCCTGGAGAGATTATTTCATGTGTTTGATTCCTAAGCCTAACTCTAATAAATTCAGACCAATCTCTCTTGCCAATATCTTGGCAAAAATATTCGAAAAGATAATTAAAATTAGGTTGGAATGGTGGGCAGAATCCTTAGACATAATACCTCACTACCAAAATGGTTTCAGAAAGGACAGGTCATGCGCTAATAGTGTCATTGCGCTCAAAACCTTCATTAAAGACTCGTTCTTTAATAAAAAATACGTTGGTGCTATTTTTATTGACATTGAAGGTGCTTTTGATAATGTCAACGTTGACAAATTACTGAATATTCTGAATGAACTAGGTATCCCTGAGTACTTTGCTAAATTTCTCGCTTTTATACTTAAGGACAGGAGGGTGAAGGGATATTTTGGTGGTGATCACTTGGGCACTAGGATGGGTAATCGAGGTGTTCCTCAAGGTTCGGTACTGAGCTCCCTCCTCTTCAATATCTATATATCTAGAATTCACCTAAACCTGAATAAGAAGACACATATTCTTTCATATGCGGACGATGTTGTGATTTTCTCTACGGACTCCTGCGTGGGGGAGATATATAATACATTACAGAAAGACCTCTTAATTCTGAATAAAAACCTTGAGGCTTTAGACCTTAAAATCTCTCTCAACACAACTAAATGGTGTATATTTCATGAATCACATAGATTCAGCACAATCCAAAATCATATTAATAGAACAGACTCACTCCTAAAGTTACATGACGAAATAATCCCGATCTCTTCAGGAACCACGTTTTTGGAGTTTTCGTTTGATACAAACCTAAGCTAGAGGACTCACATAACCAAAATTGGAATTTCTTGCCTGAAACGTGTTAATCTTCTCAAGTCATTTGCTGGCATCAAATGGGGGTGTCATCCCGCTACCCTTCTCATAGTTTACAGAGGTCTCATCAGATCAGTGTTAGACTGGGGGGCTTGGTCCTCACGGAGACTACTCCACATCGGCTATTACCTTTGAGCAGAATTCAATTCAGATGCGCTCACATTATTCTAGGACTTATGTCTACGACTCCGACGAACATATTGCTTGACCAAATCGCGGAATGGCCTTTATGGCATAGATGGAGATTCCAGGAAAAGAAAATTTATATCAAAAGCCTCAACTTGGGCAATAACCCTTTAGTTTATTTTATAAAAAATAGTCACATGTGGTCTAGGGAGCGGACTCTGAAACCAAATCAATACATTCTGTCAAATTCCTTATACAGCTTTATTAATGACAAACAAGTAGCTTTGACAGATTTTGGCAAGCTTAACAAACTCCCTTCTTTCTATCACAGATTCTCGCTGAGACTTTTCAAATTCAATATTTATCTTAATACTTTTGATAATATTAAAAATTTTTAAAGGAGGATAGGTAAATTTTGGTACAACAACAACAAAAGAATATCCTCGGAAGGGATTTTGAGGCTTCCCGCCGCGGACATTCGCAATCTTAACCTGGACAGAGAAGTATACACGGATGGTTCTGTGCTCCCTGATGGTGGGGCTGGGTACGGGGTGTATTCTCCTTTCCCTGAAGCCAGAGAGGCAATCCGTGTACACGACTCCCATATCATTTTCCTGGTTGAAAGCATGGCCATTCTGCGCGCTATTGACATCTCACTACAGGAGAATATAAGAAGAGTTGGAATTTTTACAGACTCGATGAGCGTATTAACCCAGCTAAATAATCTCGACTTGGAAGGAACCGGATTGGAACTGTCATTTAACATCAGATATAAACTACAGATGGCGATATACAAAGGCATGGAAATACTGTTAGTCTGGATTCCGGGTCATAGGGATATCCCTGGCAACGAAATGGCTGACCTGCTTGCTAAACTTGGATCTCTGAGTTCTGAAAGCCCGGATGGGAAATATTGTTCGGTCTTACCGGAGGATGTAATTTATGATCAACTTTTAAAGGATAAAGCTCATGCTGTACATGAACTTACGCAAGAATTCGGATTCAAGGGGAAAAGATATTTCGAACACTCATCTGCCTTATTATCCTCTCCTTGGTTCAGAGATTTGGGCAACTATAGGAAGAGTACGATCACCTTGATGGCTAGAATAAGATCGCATCATATTGCGACAGGGATTCATCTGAAAAATAAAGATATATGCATTGATGAGAGTTGTGTATGCGGATGGAAGCAGCGCAATATAGAACACATTCTCTTTAAGTGCCCTTTACATTCAGCTGAATCGGATTGCCTCCTCTTGAAATTGTTTTACAAAGACGCTAATTTCTCAGTAGAGGACTTACACAAAGCTGCATTCGACTTGGGGAACATACACGTCTTTGAGAAAATCGACAAATTCCTTCTGAACACCCATCAAACCCTATAAAACCTCACCTTTCAGTACTATCTGGAAAATGGCGTGTGGACACTGTTGCAATACATTCTGGAACCAGAAATAGAACCAACCAACCAACCAACCACCAGGGAGCATTTGGATCACGGATAAGATGGTGGTTGGAGCAGATGAGTTCATGTGCACCAATGCTCAGTGACACGAACGGATTGGAGCAGTTTCTCCTCTTTTAAGATGCATACAAACATGCAAGTTAAACTCGCAGCATGGATCCATTGGAAGATTTTCTCATTGGCTTTAATATATTAATTATGAATGAAATTAATGAGAATCTTTTACCTTTAGCTGTAATTCGTGATTTATTTGTGGAAGACAATGAGAACGACGATGAAATAGAGAGTGAGTATTGATGAAGATGTGACATCCTAACCTTATTTGCTATAACTTCTGAACATTATTAGTTTTAATTTGTCTTTTCGGTAATTATACAGAATATCCCCCTCACCTCCGATTTTGATGAAAAAATATTTAATCGACGTATTTTTTCAAGAGAAACAACTTTTCTATTTGAAAAAATCTCTGTCGGAATCTTATCTGTCGCCTCCGTGACAGATTTCCTAACCTAAATTGTCATCAACTTTAACAATTTATATCTCGCTCCACAAGACAGAGCGACGATTTTTTCAAATAGAAAAGTTGTTTCTCTTGCAAAAACGCGTCGATTAAATATTTTTTCGTCAAAATTGGAGGTGAGGGGGGTATTCTGTATAATTACCGTCATTTCCTTAAATAGTTAGTGCATTTTTATTTGATTTTATGTAATTTGTAAATATTGCTATTAATGCAGTTATTGAAATGGCTGAAGGTATCATTCAAAGAAGACGTAGAACATGTATAACTAATTATATTGAACAAATAGTGCCAATGTATACCGATGAAGAATTTATTATGCATTATCGTTTAAAAAGAATGCTTTTCAGAAGCATGGTGGACAGATTTAGTTATTGGGCACATTTTAGAAATCTAGGAGGTAAGTACTGTTTTTTAAATTAAAGATTTAATATCATAAGTTTTTCATTTTATTTTAAATAAAGTATAATTAATATTTTATATAGAACATGGAGGATTTGAAGTACACTCAAACGCAAAAACCCGGTACACTAAAAATTTGGGAAAAAATTACAAAATTTCAAATGATCATAACTTGGTAAATAATGAAGATACAAATATGCGCAGAAATGCAAAATGGAGCTTGAAACGTCCTCTTTAAGAATATCTGAATGGCAATTATGCTCGGCCATTTTTTTCAAAATGGCGGATGATAAAGTGAGAGAATGCAAAATTGATAATCAAAACCGTGTTTGCGATGGTGCATGGTGTGCATCACGTATCGCAGCGTAATGAGACCAAATGCACATGAAAGTATAGAATGTTATCTTTAAAATGCTACTTTACCGAGCTCGATGTGATCATTTTTCACTGAGTTGTTCCAAATTTTGCTAAAAATGCGGTTTACTTGTTAAATTTGCATAATTCAGTGAATAAGTATCGCATCAAGCTCTATAACGAAGTATTTTAAAGAAAACATTCTATACTTTTAGGTATTTTCCGTCCCATTGAGCTGCGACACTTACTTTGCTCCATGCGCCGTCGCACGCTCGAACTTTTTTTTAGCAACTTTTCATGTTCTCCTTTTTATCACCCGCCATTTTGAAAAAATATCGTTGCGCACAATTTCAATAGATCTTTCGAAAAGTACGGTTTCAAAGCTTTCAAACCGTTTTTGAAATTTGCTGCTAGGATATTTAGGTGTCGAGATATTCAATTTCGAATTTGCAACAAATGTCGATTCAGCGAGGCTTAAGGGGCTAAGAGGCTCTGCGGTTCGTTTGGCTCTTTCATAATTTCAATAGCTGTGTTTATGTTTCTCTATATAATAATTTACATAACCTGCACAATATATTCAATGATTTGCATTTATTATTTTGAAAGCCAGGGAAATGAAAGTAAAATTCAATTTAGGTTCTTCATTTTGCGTAATCAATATTACGTAATAAAGATGAATTGCGTTTTAAGATACCACTGTCATTAGCTCAAATTATGGTTGTAAGTCTTCCCAATATAAACCGCATGGAGTTTTACTGGTAGGAAAAGTCCCATTGTATGTTGTGTGTGTGTGTGTGTGTGTGTGTGCGTGTGCGTGTGCGTGTGCGTGTGTGTGTGTATTTGTTTGAGTGTGTGTATTTGTTTGAGTAACGATTAGGTAACGCCGTTACTTTTTGGTGTCAGTAACGAAAAAGTAACGGCGATACATTTTTTTTGTAACGAGTAACAAAACGTCCGTTACTTTAATCGTTACTTTTTAATTTTTATAAAATTAAACTTAATTGTATTTAATTTCTATGCATTTTTTGTTTTATGCTGAATTTAATGAGAACCAATAAAGATGGACTCACATTGTCATCCATTGGCCTTAGCTATACAGAAAGGTATAAAAGAAAGGTAATTTGGTTAATACATATGTTCATCAAACAACATTCATCTGATCAAAAAGAAAAATCAATATGTTCATATTTAATTTTATTGATTCAACTTTAGGTTTTGTACTACATTCGAAAAAGAAGAATTGATAATTGCCAGCTGTTTGCATCCCAAATTGAGTTGGTTAGCTGAAGATAAGTGAAAACTTGCGCAAACGTATTTAGAAGATTTATAAGGAATTCCTTCAATTAAAAATTTTTTGATATCTGATAAGCACAATAATAACGATGACTTTTTTAATTTTAAATAGCAAACATCAAATGAGAAATCTGCCTATGATGAATGGCAATGATTTTTAAAGTCAACAGGCACTAATGTCCAAATATTAAATTCATATCCACTAATTAAGAAACTTTTCATTAAATACAATACTTAATAACATAAAATAATAAAAATATTTAAATATACATATATATATATTTCTAATCGTCTTATGTTCGATTTATATCTTGTCTTAGCACCTTTCTTATAATCCTGGATTTACAACAAAAAAAAGTAACGGAAAGTAACGAAATAAAATATCGTTACTTTCAAGTAACGGTAACGCGTTATTTTTTAAGATCAGTAACGAGTAACGGTAACGAGTTACTTTTTACCAAAAGTAATGGTAACGGTAACGAGTTACTTTTAAAAAGTAACTTTCCAACCCTGCAAAAGGCGAGCGAGCGCGACGAAGAGCGAGAGAGCGCGAACGACGAGGAGCGAGCGAGCTGTAAGGAAAAAGCTATAAAGAAAAAGCTCGCTCGCTCCTCGTCGCGCGCGATCGCCTCTTGTCGCTTTCGTTGCCCCTCGCCGTGCGCGCTTGCCTATCGTCACTCGCTGACTCCGCCTGTATCAAATGTCTACGTGCTTACTGCGGCCGTCCTCCGCTCTCTACGCGCTCGTTGGCTCACATGTTTTAATTAATAACTCGGTAACTATTGCCAATTTGACATTATGGTACATGACTTTTCTTCTCGGCTACATCCAATCTATCTCCAACTTTCGTCTGCATGATCAGCTATCAAACACCCTGTATATGTAGGCAGTCTGAAAAGTTCTCGACCTGACACATACATAGCATTAGAAACTGTCAAACTATAATTGTATTGGAAAGTGGCATCCCTGATATAAACCCATGTAAAATTTTATTCGATCTGTCAAGTCATTCGAGTAGTAGCACCAGTTGAAAAAGCTTTGTGCAAGATGGATGCATTTGCTAACAATTGACCAAAAATACATTCAAATGCGTATTTCTCAAGCGTGTTTGGCACGTTTTAAGCAAAATAAAATGGATTTCAAGCGTCGTTTTATAACTGTTGATGAAACTTGAATCCATCACTATACACCAGAGCGAAAAGAACCTTCCGGAATCACATTTTAATGATGGTATTGAATTATTGGAAAAACGTTGGAATAAATGTATTGAAGTTTTAAGAGATTATATTGAAAAACATATTTCATGGCAAAAAAAATTTTCTTTCATTGTTACGCCAAGAACTTTTCAGACTACCCTCGTAGATTTTTATACTTACTGTTAACGTTATTGGCTCGGTCGCCGTCGTGGCCATCGCTGCCGTCGTCGATGTCGCCCCGGTAATTTTTTCAGAAACCGCCATCGTAGCCGTCGTGGCTGTCGCGGGCGTCGTGACCATTGTGGCTGTGGCGGGCGTCGTGACCGTTGTGGCGGTCGTCGTCGTCATCGTATTAAGCTCGTTCTAAAATAATTTATGAAACATATTTGTTATAAAAAAGCATTTATAATATATATATATAATTAATATTTAACGGTTAAATATATATTTACCTCATTCGCCGACATCCTCGCATATGCACTGTCTAACACCTACTAAGTAACTGACATCTACTGACACCAACTAACTGGAAAACATATGCAGCACGCTAGGCACATAGCTGTGGATTATTTATGATTGCGCGTACGTGCGCGCGTTTTCTGAAACAAATAAATCGTAAAGGAGCATGGTATAAACAACAACAAAAAAACATACGTTGTAAAAGCTATCCATGTCGAATCTAATAAATAATTTATGTCATGTGAATTCATGCACGAGTTACTTACATTAACACAACTTTTTTCACCATAGTTAACCTGTATAACAGTTGTCAATAAACTTTACAAGCGTTGTTTTTATCATTCGCTTGACGATTTGAAACAAAAGAAGCGCTATAGCACTGCTGTTTAGCGACTCTGTCGCCGAGAATAGTCAATCTGCGTCGGAAGGTTCACAATAACGTTTGTTATAGCGGTGCTTCGCTATTCGTGCTTTGTGATAAGTATTTTGACCTGAGCTGCAGTCTTTTTTTCCTTCGTGAGATTAGTGTTTTACAACATTTGTTTCTAAATGATCTCTCAGATCTACGTGATCTGTCTCTTTTGTAACACGTATTACGGTTTTTTGCCCAATACCATTATTAATAAATATATTTGTATACGCCTGTATTGGTGTGTATACTTCATTGTATTGGTTCATTTATTCATTCTTTTTTTCCTTTTACGTGTTGCTTTTTTTCCTTTTCCATTTTCCTCTTTATTCTGCCATTTTTAGTTTCTTACTTTTTACATATTTTTTCTCACATATCTAAAATTATTTTTTTGCACTGCATTGCAAATAAAAATATAAAGACTATGTTGACTCCAGAAGATAGCTTTTATAACAGGTATATGTATAAAAATTGTCAGAATGGAAAATCAACTGGAAAACGATTATTCAAATTCCCAATGCAGAAGGATGCAAGATATAATACATGGATACTTAATACAGGTAGATCTTTCTACAATAATAATTTTCTATATAGAGGAATTCGGATAATAGTATGCATTTTTTACATTTAATTAATTGTACACTGTACAATTTGTAACGATACGACATACTTACTCCAAACTAACACTGAATATGAAGTGTTATCTGCTGTGTACTGACATTACTAAAAATTGAAATTGATATAATTGAATTAATAGTGCTTCAAATAATTAACAATATAAAATGCTGCAAATGCGTACTCTTGGACAACCTATGAGATAAGAGTACGCACACGAAGTACAAGGATACGCATTTTTTATTCTATTAATTAAATTAATGAAATTGATTAACCCTTTGCGGTCGGCAGATTTCGAAGAGATCGATAAACATTAATATCTGTAAGTTGATCTAAACATTTGAATCTAACATTGGGAGGATAGTTTTCTTTCATTATCGCTAGCCTCGTTCGTCGTGCCGCGCGCCAGGCGATCATGAATACCAGCCTGGCGGCACCGACTTCTATGACGACTTGCGAATGCCGCCACTGTGGCGGCATCAACCACAAAGGGTTAAATGTCATCCTGACTTACTGCGGTTACAAATCCTCGCCGTTCTATATTTTTGCGCTTGTATTTTGATGATCTAAAACTAAAAAGAGCCGCCGAACTTCTTAGACCTAACGACGATATCGATATCGCGCGACGCGTAAGCGGTACGCGAGGATGACCGGCCGGTCAATGACATATACGCTGCGGCGGCTACACAGACAGACCAAAAATGCTCGCGACAACTATTGTCGGGAAATCATTAAAATTTTTTCCTCATTTAATAATTACTTTAAAATATATATATTTATGTGTATTTAGTGATAATATGACACAAAAATGCGCTCCAGCTGATTTCTTATATAGCGACGGACCTTAGCGGCCCGTGATCGTCGCCTCGGCCGCTAAGCGCGGAACGGCGCACAGTGGAAAAAAACTCATTTTTTGGATAAAAATCTACGGATAGTGCAATTTTTATTGCTTCTTGTACGTTAGAGAAAGAAGCGACGTGGTAACTGTGCGAACCTAGCACGTTGTACTCTTATTTTTTATTTTTTGGATATATTGTTGCAGAATTATTTTTTTTTTTCGTTATAGAGAAATTGTAGAACTATCAAAAGCGCTATTAGAACTCTATTTGTTTTTTTCATATTGATAGTTTGACATGTTAACTTCACAGACATGCCTTCCCGCTCCTCCACGCGGTCCTTGAACGCTTTATTTAAATTGGTTATAAGGCCTTCTGAATTTCTATTTTTCATTTTCTCGCGAACAAAATTTTTTTACTCATTATACTTTTACCTAATACTAATGTGCATGAATACTTATCGCTACGAGATGCAGCTAAAAATTATATTTACACGTCAGACCTTTCTCTTGTAAGATGCTACGTTCAAGTTGAATATAAGTTTTTTTCATAATTAGTTCCGCAGCCGTATAATGCTATATGCAAAATTTACAGTCCTGCAAAAGTTCGAAAGAGACTTCTTGTATAAAAGCACAAAAACTGAATGACACAACAAAATTAAGGGCCATGACTAAATGAGTATACGAATTGAGGCGCTGGCCGAAATATCGAAGTTGTAGGCATGTCAAAACAGATCTTGTATATTTGTAAGCATACTGAAGCATTTTGTACAGGGTTGTAGGCACGTTGTTAGCACTATACAGGGTGTTAAATTTCAAACGTAACAGGTAAAAAATCTCGAAAACTATGAAAGATAAAAATAAGCTAAAACATATGTTTCATAATTTCGAAGAGGAAAGAGACTGGCATTATCAGTTTTTTATTTGGAGGGTATTTTCAAGGTCAGTTGAAGGTCAATTTAATTTTTTTTAATAGAAAGCTCAATTTTTCATTATATCTTCTTTTTCTATCAATTAATTTTAACAACTTTTGTCTGAATTATTTTTTATTTCCTTAATATTTTTTGAAATATTTAAAGAAAACTTGGTAACTTTCAACATTTAATTTACGATATCTCGGTAACAATTCGACGAAAGAAAAAATAGCATTAGACTTAATACTTTATTTATTATCAAGAATATATTACTATAATAGTGCCCTAACTTTTGTTAACTTATCGACCTTTGGAAATTTCAAAATTATTAAATTAACAAAAGTTAGGGCACTATTATAATAATATGTTCTTGAGACTAAATAAAGCAAGAAAGTCTAGTACCACTTTTTCTTTCGACAAATAGCAAGATATCGTAAGTTAAATATTGAAAAAGTTATCTAGTTTTTCCTCAAATATCTCAACAAATATTAGGCAAATAAAAAAATGTCTTAGACAACAGTTGTTCAAATTAATTGGTAGAGAAAAACAATGTAATGAAAAATAGGGATTCCTATTTAAATTTTTCAAGTTGACTTCCAAATGACCTTGAAGGTCATGGCCAAGATCAAATTCAAGGTCACCATCAAGTCCGTAACTCAATTTTCTACAACTTTTGTATTTAAAGTTTTTCATGAAAACTTAATCCTGCAAAATTATTCGGGAGATCCGGTATTTTTAAGACAGTCTGTATCGATGGATTCGATATTAAATGCTTTTAAATTTTTGTCCT